ATTTCTGATTCTTTTACTAAACTGACTCCAGTCAGAGAAGGGAATGCTGGGTAGCAACCATTGCCATTAACTTGGTGACATTGCATACACACACTACAAATTAGAAGAACCAAAATATGGAAATTTATTTATCAGTGATACAGAGTAAAAATTATCTTGATATATTCAAAATGTAGACCATTCTTAATTATTCAGTCCTTGAATCTCAGCCAGAGCAGAATCACCTTCTAGCTATAGCTTGTATGTTAGGGAAGGGTCTCACATTATAGTTATAATAAGGATAATCAGTGTTCTAAAGCCGTGCAGCAGTAATGATGATTGAATCTGGTGAGCTGGGTAGGGACCCTAACTACTTACCACCGTATGTTGTAGGAACTTGTTTGGTAATATTGGGTAGGAAAAGTCATGATGAATGTTTACAACACATGGCACTTGTTCATTTTTGGAAGTACTAGAGTTATTCACATCTATGTTATTGCTATGTCATTTGACAGCTGACAGTTCTAGCTTCATTATAAAAAATGGTTGAGTGATTTGGTTCAGTTTTGGAGATTTTACAACAGGTTGAAAATGGAAGACCAAACTGTGCATTTTTGCCATATTTTACTGTTTTACGTCTATAAAGGGAAGAACGCGCATGAAGCTTGTGCAAAGTTGCATAAAGTTTATGGTGACAATGCTCTACGAGAAAGTCAGTGCCAATGATGGTTCACAAAATTCCGTGCTGGTGATTTTGATCTCAATGACGCTCCTCAGTCAGGGAGGCCCACTGAGGTTGATAACTGCAAAATAAAGGCATTGATCGAGTCAAACCCATGTTACACAACATGAGAGATTGCAGAAACATTGAACATCCATCATTCAAGCATTCACGACCATCTGAAGAAGCTGGGATACGTAAGCAAGCTCCATATTTGGTTTCCACATGAACTCAGAGAAGTTCATTTGACGGCACATATAAACATCTGCAATATGCTCATTAAACTTGAGGAAAACAATCCTTTTTTGAAGCGACTGATAACTGGTGATGAGAAGTGGATTGTTTACAACAATGTGGTGTGCAAACCGTCTTGTTCCCTATGTGATGATTTGCCTCAAATGACATCGAAAGCAGACATTCATCAGAGGAAGGTTATGCTCTCAGTGTGGTGGAATTTTAAAGGTGTCGTGTTTTTTGAGCTCCTACCAAGAAGCCAAACAATCAATTTGAATGTGTACTGTTGGCAATTGGACAGTTTGAACGAATCCATCATCCAGAAACATCCAGAGCTTGTTAATTGTAAAGGAGTTATGTTTCATTGTGACAACGCGAGACCACACACAAGTTTGATCACCCATCAAAAATTATTGGAGCTTGGATGGGATGTGTTGCCACACCCACAATACTCACCTGACCTTGCGCCATCAGACTTCCACTTGTTTCACTGTCTTCAAAACTCCTGTGTGGTATAATATTCAATTCAGATGAGGCTGTAAATCAGCACCTTGTTCAGTTTTGCACAAATAAAGACAGGTCCTTGTATGAACAAGGAATTATGAAGCTCCCTAAAAGATGGCAAAAGGTTATTGACCAAAATGGTCAATATATCATTGATTGATCTTTGTTCTTTACATAAATAAACAAGCTTTGAAAAACAGACAAAATACATCATGACTTTTCCGACCATCCAATAGTTTTATTGGTGGTGGTAGTATATTGAGTATGGTATTTGCCCAAAGTTCTTGAACATGTGTAAGCCCATTTTGTCAGTGGCTTTTTAAAAATGTGTGTGTGTATAATATATATATAATATATAATATGTAATATATATTATATATATATTAAAATTACACTGATGGTAACTGCTTTGAGTACCTCTTGTAATTGCAGAAGTCAAACGTGACTTGTATTCATCCTTTGTTATCGGTATATATTGAGTATTACAATTTTAATAGTTTTTTCCTTTCTTAAAATGTGCATAGAGTTTTTTGGCAATATATACATATATACATGCATATATAGATAGATAGATATAGATATAGATATATATCTCAGCCACAAAGATAAGTTTTAGTGAATTTCAGGCCCTTTATTCATGGTTTCAATTTCATAGCCAGACTTAGAAGTGGAGGAGGCAGCAAAATGTAACTTCAGGAGACAAAGAGGGAACTAGAGAGGATATGAAACATTCTAGGCCAACTCCAGGAAACCCAGATGAGAGTGCTGTTCTAGACTTAGCTAATATTTGTAATGTCTGCTTGTTCAGTAAAATTTTCCAGAATGTGGATTAATTTACAAAGTACAATGGAATCTACAATAAATTAGTTGACATTACAGAAGGAACATATTCAGAAGAGTAGAAGTCACATTTCATTTTAAATGTCAAAAATAAAGTATGTGGTGCCGGCCGAGTGGCGGCGTTGGTTAAGAGCTGGCCTGGGACGACCGCTCTGAGCAGCAGAGCCCTGGTTCGAATCCCACATGAGGGCCAGTGATGCTGCGCCCTCTAAAGCTAAGATGGTGAACAACAGCTCGACCTAGAACTGGGCTGCCATGAGTCGCTGGCTATAGCGCAGGCTGCAGTGAGGCTGCAGTGGGCTGCTGTAGAGCTACTGTGAGTGGCTGGCAGCCGGCATGAGCGGTCGTCCAATGGCTGGCAAGCAACTTCCCTACCCGGGAAGAGCACAATGATAATACCAACATGGGCCAGTGAAGCGACGTCCTCCACAACTAGACTGAAGAATAAAAGGGCACAGCAACTTGTCTGTTCCCCTTCCCTGATTCCCCAGTGCTGTTCCACTCCTACAATTCCCCAATAAAATCTTAAAATAAATAAGTAAATAAGTAAATAAATGAAGTATATGATTTAACTTGTAGTCCCTAAAGTCCTAGATTTATAGCTAGTGGTAGGCAGTATTGTAAAACACATTCTCACATTTGACAAGACAAATGAAAAATTTTCAAAAGTGAAGACAAACTCCTAAGAAAGTTTTAAATCCTTAGTAAAATGACACTTAACTTACAGATACATATGTTTATTGGATAATACTAACACGAATGTTTTAGTATTTGATAATTTTAAAGTTTAAGCTTAAATAATCTGTGAAGCTCAGGTCATAGAAGATATAAATCATTTTTATTTGTTTGAACTTAGTATAATTATATATGTGACAGCCCAAAAAGTTCTGCTGAATTTTGGAGTTTTTTAAGTAAAAAAAAAAGGGCATCTTTGGTATTGGTAAAAGGAAAAAATCCTCCAATTCAGTGATATATAGCTTATTGGATTAAGAAAGTATGCATTAACATTCACTTGGTATGTATGCGTATATTCTACTTTAAGAAAGTGTCATTTCAAAACAGTTTGGGTGTGTGAACTCTAAAGCAAGATCAAATAGTTCTGTCAGTCAAGTGACAGAACAGAAAAGTAGGTGAAAAAAAAGGCTCACCTTCTTTCACTCCCACGTCCTTTCTCCAGCAACCCCAAATATATGTTTGCATTTGTGATCTATTTAGAAATCGTTTTACAGATCTTTAAGCAGGGAAGTGGTTGCCTTTCAAAAAGAAACTAACAAAAAACCTGAAAGGAGACTTTTAACAAACAGGCTTTAGAAGAAAAGATTATAAAGGGGTGATGAACCCAATATGTGTGTGTGTATATGTATTAAATATATATATAATACACACACACGCGCGCGCGCACACACACACACACACACACACACACACACACACACACTCTGAGGGTGCCAAAAACATATATACATTTTAAGAAAGGAAAACTGTATTAAAATTGTGATACTCAATATATACCGATAACAAAAGATGAATACAAGTCACGTTTGACTTCTGTAAGTACAAGAGGTGCTCAAAGTGGTTACTATCAGTGTCCAAACACTTCTTATTACAGCAAACTACTGCTTGAGTGATGTTGACCAAAGTGTCCACTTATGTACATTTTTTTGGCACCCCCAGTATATATATATCCATAGTGGGCATTATAGGGAGGTTCCTGTTTCTGTACTAATAAGAAGTGCACTAAATTCAAAGGAGCCAAATTACAATCTTTATATTGGGTTGTCGGAAAAGTCATGACGTATTTTTTTCTATGTTTTTCATTGCAAAAATGCGTCATGACTTTTCTGACAACCCAATGTTTTTTTTTTTTTTAGCATGGCATTTTAGATTTCACTGTTCTTCATTAAAGGATTTAGGAACACTGGGAAATATTATACTACTGGAAAGAATGGTTGTTTTGTTAACTAAGTTAATTATGTGGGGGTTTTATTGTGGTTTTTTTTGGTATATGCTTAACTTATTTTGTGTGGATATGTGTATGACTGTGTATGTGGGTGTGCGTGTGCATGCGCCTGTGGGTGTGCATGTGTAACCCTTTGAGAGAAAATGTAATATAGTTTAGTATTGCTCCAAAAATAAGTATAGAATGAGCTGTGTGATTAATGGCTCCATGTTTTAAAAATTAAGGCATAACATTGATATTGGCTTACTTTTATTATCCTGTTGGCCAAATAAAAATGTGAGAAAAAAAACTGAAAGGGATTTTTTTTTCCCTAAAAAGTATTGGAATACCCAATGGGATGGGAAGAAAGGCTCTTGACAGAAAGGGAACAGACACAATATTGCTGAATCTTTTTGGGAATTGTTATGACCCGAGGCCATTTTCTTCAACAGAAGTCTGTAACTTTATTTCCTTGCCTTCATATATAGAAAAGCCCTAAACCACATGATATTTCACATTATTCTTTACTCAATGTGGGATTAGACCAGAAATATAATAACATTATTCATATATTAAAAACACTATCTAATAGCAGTGCAGGCCTTCCTACATTCTTTGTGCTCTTCCCTGCTGGTGTTTCATTGTGTGTACTATCTAAAATTTCTTCAGAATTTAAGAAGATTTTTTGTGAAATATAAAGCCTTGATTAATTGGAAGCAAACTAACCAGAACTCTCAATTAACCAGTTTTATTTATTTATTTTTTGCTATACTCTCCTTTTAGAAGGAAGAGGCAAATGACAAGAAAACAAGCTGTTAACAGGTATTTATGTATTTATTTTTTAAAAATCAACTTCCTGGGAATGTCCTGGAGCCTGTACAGATTCAGCCCAACTTCAATAATTTTGTTCCCTGTACTATACTTACTCACGTAGGAAAATGGAGCCATTTAAAATTTTCAGCAGCAAGTGTTGAATCTTGCTTAAGTATTAGTTAATAGTAATTAAAAAAATGAAATCCAAATAGCTAATTAGAACCTGTCTCTCTGTTTGATGGTTCTAGTTAATTGGGGTCTCCACAGTTTCACTATTGCCAGTTAGGGACCATTCATATCTATTAACTGGTAGTGGATCCCAGGACCATGCACTGGGGAGGAGACTTCCAGCCACAGGGAGCAGCTCCTTTCCTGGGAACTACAGCAGACGCTAGAGAAAGGCTGCACAATTGATGGGGGTTGAGAGAGGATCACTGACATAAAACCCTTGACACCTGTGTAAAGTAATTGGCAAGTAATGCACCCACCCAATGGCTCTGAAATGCTTAGGAAGGTACATTCACTTTGCAGGGCAGCACAGGCTATTAAGTGTGCTACAGCAGTAATGGAAAAAAACAAAAAAAAACCCCAACCAAACCCACAGTTCTTCTAATCTTTTGGAGTTGTTCTAAGCACTAGGCATACAAATATTTTGTAGGCATGCTAGTAGTTCTAAAATATTTGAAATAATTGTTCTTCTGAAAGTACAGCTTTTGAACATTTGGAAGTGTAAAACGATTGAAACTTCCTAAAATATCTATCACAATTTCAGTTAAATTGCAATCAGAGATACCATATTGCTTCAGGCCTTATACTGTTTAGGTGATAATGGGGAAAAAATGGGCAGTGACTCAAAGAGGCAAGGGAGAAAAAGAGCTACCCATGATATTAAAGTACATTTTGATATTGCCTGGCAATAATGCCCCTCTTCTCTTCCACACATGCCACTCAGGTTAAATCACCCTTTGGTGACTTTTCCCCCTTCCTTCAGGGCTGCCCTTGATGCACAGTTTATCCATATTTTTCTACAAGAAAAATGTTACAGGGTGGTGGGGGAGAAGGGGACCACACTATGTGATTTATCTTGCCTTTTCAACATAGAAAATGAAAATCACTATGGTGCTATTTCTTATATCTGGGATATTTTCTATATTAAATATTACTGTAAATATTATGCACACTAAATAATACCCAAGCAACCTGAAACAGTGGATGTGCCTCCTTAAGTGCCAAAACTTTTTGTTAGACTGTGGCTTCAATGTTGGGGAGACTAGAACCCACTAGATTTCATTAATGAATGATTTCAACTGAAAAACTTTAAATGGATTGAGTTTTGAGTTTAGGTTTGGGATATTGAAAGCAAGTGTTTTTTATTTTATATGAATGCAATTGAATTCAGGCACTGAAATTGACTTTCATTTTCTTTTTATTTTCCTAGTGAAATGACATGCAATTAATGTCAAGTTTTCTCTTTTAACTAAGCATAATAATAGTTTATAACTGTATATATTTATTTCTAGATTAATCATAACACACATTACATATTTACATATATATGTGATAAGTTTTTCCATTTACTGTAATCTGCAAAAAACCATGAAATGTTTTTGAAATTATATGTTCCAATTCACTCCCAGAAACTACAGAGAAACAGGAGAGTCACAAACTCTAATGCCTACTGAAGCAAGGCTTGTAATGTAAATGAAAGACCATAAGCGATAGGGAGTGGTGGGGACGATGGTGATCTAGAGAGTATATATTTTTTCTAAAGGTGGCAGCTATTACTCAGCTCAGATGATTGCTACCATGTGGGAATGCAGGCCCAGTATTGCTATGATCTGACTCTTTAAGAGAAACCAGGAAGCCAGATTTTTATGTGAAATTCGCCTAGTTCTTAAATGTTGGTAACTAACTCAATAAAAAGCAAAGAGCAGCAACCCTATGCAGGCAAAACAAAACCCATCTGTGGTCTGAATCTAGCCCCGGGCTGTCAGCGACCTCTGCTTTAAATTATAAATACTCTAGGTACTGCAATTTTAAAAAATGTTATAAATGCACCCAGAGGTCTTAATGTTGGAAAATTCATGTAAAGTAAATAAATTATCAGTAAAGTGCTTGTAAATAATTCTCCTGGTACTCAAAATAGTGGCTATGCAGTTTGTGATTGTTTTTCCCTTACTACATGGAAATAGCCAAGATAGTTTTCCCTTAATGTGGTTTGAAAATTAAGATAAAATTGTGGTTTTTTTGCTTTCATATTTATCAATGAAACACAGTATGAAAGATCATTACCGCCATGTCCAAAAGAGAATATTTAAGTATTGGTTGTGTCACATAACATAATTATGGCTTCTACTTTTTTTTTATGAAATTTATTGGGGTGATATTGGTTAGTAAAATTATATGGGTTAAAAGTGTACCGTTCTATAATACATCATCTATATATTGCGTTGTGTGTTCACCATTCAGAGTCAGTTTTCCTCCCATCATAATGCTTCTATTTAAAGCCGAATTAATGGTGCTTTAATAGGAAGGAAGTCATGTACACAGCATATACTATTTTATTTTAAATTGGCTTGCCTTTGAACACTTTCCCAATTTTATCCAGTGAAATTCCTTTATTTTTACAAATGGATAAAATCAGAAATAAGAGAATTATAAGTAGTTAACACAACAAAACTTCGTTGGAACTTTTGATAGGCATTGACAAAGATAAAACAAAAGTTGGTCATCTGAGATTTTATTAAGAGGTAACTGTTTGACTGATCTGAGACTTTGCTTGTTTGCCTGTCCTGCCCTGGACCTTAGCACATAATCCCACTGTGCTACAATGCTTTTGACATCTGTATGCCCCTTTTATCACTGGCAATCCAAAAGCATATTTGTCTAGAAAGGAAACAATTAAATTCCAATCTCTCAAGGAAAAAAAAAAAAGAAAAGAAAAACACCCCACTGCTAAACTTGCTTTAACGACCCGTGTGCTCTGCACCATAAATCCTTACTCAGGATGGTAAGTTAACATTGTCATTTCTGATGAGAAACTTATCAGAAGCCTTTTATTTAAGTGAAAAAGAAAGACAAAGAAAAGAATGCACAATCACAATTCCTAAACTGACTAAAAAACCCCCTCATTTGTTGACAAATTATTCTAGTGGCAGATTTAACACAGACACATATGAAAGATGAGAAATTGTTGATCAACTGGTCCACACATGACAATGTGCAAACAGCTGATGTTTACTTAAATATAATTTGGGTAGACAGTGCGGCCCTTTCTAGATTGTCAGATAGTTTTGACCACAAGCAATCTGTTGTCTGTTAAGGATGAACTATGTTTAAACGTACTGATAAATTAAACCTTTCCCTAAAAACTCTGACAACTAGAGATTCTTAGTTAATTGGTTAGTTCTCAAAGTAGAGAATTTAAGAAATGAATGAGTATTTGATGCAGTCAACCAGCATAGGCATATAAATAAAGTACAAGAGGGTAAAGGGGGTGAAATATATGGTGATATATGGAATATATGGAAATATATGGTGAAGGAGAACTGACTCTGGGTGATGAGCACACAATGTGATATATAGTGATGTGTTATAGAAATGTACACGTAAAACCTGTATAATTTTATTAACCGATGTCACCCCAATAAATTTAATATTAAAATAAATTTGGGATAAATTTTGATGGACAACTAGTATTTTTTTGTTGTCAAAACATAACAAACAAATATCCCAGGTGATTTTCCATGTATTGGTTAATTTAATCACCATAGCAACCCTACAAGATAGGTGCTGTTATTGTGATCCTTATTTTACAAATGATGATACTGTGGCACAGAGAAGGTTAAGTGACTTATGTAATGCCATATAGCCTATAGACATCAGAACCAGCATTTGAATCAAGGCAGTCTTATCTCAAAGCTCATATACTTTGGATCAATATAATTTATAACCCGACAACTGGGATCATACTAATTACACACACAGAGACACACACAGAGACACACACACACACATTTCTGGATTGTTGAAAAATGACATTTGTATTCTAAAATCAATTTGGTAGCATCATTTCTATTGTGTAATAAATTAGAAAGATTAATTATAAAATAGTTCAAATAGAAAGAGCAGGAAATAATGAGAGACATCTGTGGGGCAATAACCAGATCTACATTGTGTGATATTTGATTCATGGCTCAAATTTAAAAAAAAAGATATATCTGTAAAGCATTAATGATATGAAGAACACTAATCTCCTTTCTACTCCACCCTTCATAAGAGGTAACCACTGTCTTAAAATTGGTGTGTATCATTCCTGTGTTTTTTTATTATATGTGTAAATATGTAATAGTAGTAATTTTTGTGTTTTTGAAGTGTACCTAGATGGTTTGAAACTACTATCCTTTTGTAATCATTTTCACACTATGTTTTTGAGATTTATCCAGGTTGATACATGTAGATTTAGTTCATTCATTTTTTCACTGTCCACTATACCATTTCATTGTGTGAGTATATTGCAGTTTGATTATTCTTTACTATATTGATAGACATTTAGGTTATCTCCAATGTTTTATTGTTACAGAGTGCTGTAATAAACATCACATTTTCTTGTGCCCCTGTAGAAAAATTTCTCTGGCCTATAAACCTAGAAGTGAAATTGTTGAACTGTGGGCTATGTACATCTTCAACTCTAATAGTTATTGCCAAATTGCTCTCTAAAGCTGTTCTGATTTACATTCCCACTAGCATTATACAAGAGCTCCTATTTCCCCACATTGTGGACAGTGGAGTAGATATTTTTAACAGACAATTCCTTTGAAGAAAAAATAATTCTTTTTAGTGATTTTCTTTCATGATTATACATGCAGTTGAAGCATTGATTCTTATCGCTCAGTGCACATAACAATGTTAACTGATCCTATTTGTGTCATTTTTCTTCATTTTAAACCGTGTAGTTCAGATAAGCATAAGGATACTACTTAAAATGTGTATTTTCCAGGTTACAAGGC